CAGTCTTCTTACAATTACACTTATTGAAAATTCCAAATAATATCAGAATATGTCTTCTACTATTTTAGATTTATAATGAAATTGAACATGTTCCTTTAATAGTCATCTACTTGAATATTTTTTAATACTTAACTTTTTGGGTTGGATTTCCCAAAAATCATTTTGATGTCGTAGTTCTTTCTTAATAAAGTGCAGTCTTGCCTAGATTTAGTGGTAATGACAGCCCTAACACAACAACGGGAACAAATTAGGCCTGTTAAGAGGTCGGGGAGATAGGATTTGAAAGTTGTAAGGGCGAGAGATCTTCTGATTTGGATACTGCACTTTTGATCCAACTGCTTTTTGGAGAAAGAAAGAAAAAATATTTAAAATTCAATTCAGAGAGTTGGCCCATGGACCAACCTAAAAGTGGGCCAAGTCGCTCAGCAGAGGCTGAAAAAATTATGTTTTATTGTTTGTCTGACTGCACTTGTTATGATGACTGAGTTTTACAAATCATTCTTGTTTTCTTTAGTGCTATTAGGTAAAAAAAAAATTTTTTTGTACATTGATTTTCCGAATGAAAAAAAATTTCGCCACCAATTATTACCCAAGTTTTTATTGTGAATAACAAGCTGATATAATATTAGCAGTTATTGAACAGTAGTATCGCCCTTGTATAAAAGTTAAAAATATGACCGATTTACATGTTTTCCAAAAAGAAAAAAATTGTAAGATATAAGTAATCAATCAATATCAAAGTAAACGAAGAAGGTTTGCGTTAGCAAGGAAAGCTTTTGAAACAGCAAAGGCTCGTATCAACAATACCTTAGGCTGCGCCCTCAAACTTGCTAAGTCACTTTCCTCAACAACCGCCTAAGGCTTACAAAGTTTCAAAAGATAAGTTACCACGTGGCGGGGCGTTGGGCGTCGCCGCCCCGCCTTGAAGCAACAGGTGCTCCCTCCCCGCACCCCGCGCCGCGGTCGCAGATATTATACAATAACACTTTATTGTTAAATTGTCTTTTATATCACACCCCTAGATAAAGGGTATCACAACTCAAAACAGTCCAAAATCGGGTTATGGCGATTTTTGGAATCTGCGTCAAAAACTACTAAACTTGCTAAATTGTCTTATATTTTGCACCCCTAGATAAAGGTACACAATTCAAAGTATTCAAAATACGAGCTATGGCGATTATCGGAACAAAATAATTCGAAAATCAAAGTATGGCGATCGGAGTCTGCGTCGAAAACTACGTATAAGTTGCTGTTCCTCTAAAATGAAGTATATTGGTTTGTACTACTTTTTACCTATATGTACGATTTCATTCATAGACAGTTGCAGGAAAAGTGACATCCTTAGTTCCTACAGTATTCATTTTTCATAACCACCTTTTTAGGAAATGTGTACGTTTAGTAACTATTATGTGTGTGTAAAAACCTTGAGGAGATGAGCAAAGGCATTACAAAAGTGCTACGAAACTACGAGTACTAGCCGTGAGGACATTCACTACGAAATGGCTCGTTCGTTTCAGCCAAATGACGTCCACTGCTGGACAAAGGCCTCCCCCAAGGATTTCCATAAAGACCGATCCTGCGCTGAACGCATCCAGCATTCAGCAACGAAATGGTTCAGTTGGTTAATTTGACATAACAATAAATAGGTACCTAATTAACGAAGATAATATATGCTAGAGTCATCTGAACACTCCACCGAAAGCTTTTCAGCAATTTCCTGCGAAAATCCTTCCAAATCACTAGTTTTTCGAGTAACTTTAAACCCCAATTTCAAAAACAAAGTCTTATTTTCCAGTTAAACGAAAACTAATTGGATTTAAAGAGCTCTAAAGTAAGCTCTACATAAATAAGATGATAAAATAAAATATTTTATTCTATAACATTTTTGCAATTATGGTAATAGTTTTTCCGAAAAAGCAAGTAAAAGCTTACTTTTTAATTCACGCAAACCGAATTTCCCCTCACACTAAAAATGAAAATGTAAATGCGCGCAAAAAAATAAATACAAGGTCCAAATTAACATGTCCGCCCCGTCCTCGCAACTTTTCCAATTTTTTCGACAGTGAACTATAAATTCAGCCTCGGATGTCACGGGTTATAAAGCATAGGCGTTGCTGGTTATCGAGTGATTCCGGGGCGTTTCGCAAATTTATTCATACGGGGGACTCTCCGACCTCAGTTATTTAGGGCACACTTCCTTTATAGCGATCGGTCGAGATTTGTAACACTCCGAGATGTGGCTTTAAGTGCTAGGAAAGCCGATTGTCACGGTTCGCGACCGCATTTTAATTTATTTGCCGCTTCCAGTTTTTATTGAGGCTGTGCCGTGGTATTGTATTGTGACGCGATTTTTCGTATTGTGTGACAAGATTTCCGTTGAATAATTTCATTACTAAGTATTACATTTACGTCATAGTAAAGTATGAATTTTGACACCAGTGTTGTAACAAGAGGACATACCTACATGAAAAAAGACGAAAAAGAAAAGGACATTGTCAGAAACCGCCNCAAGAGTGGAAAGTAAACATAGGATTCATGTTATTTATTTACGTGCAAAATGTAAGTAAGTAAATCATAAAAGTGGAACGCCGAGCTATTTCCAAAACCCGTCCAATATTATAATACAATTTGGCTGCGACAACTACAATACAGAACATCTCCCAAATCGATGTGCATAAAATAATATAATACAATACTAGTAAGTAAGAGGTTATGATAACAATATTGCTATCAATAAGTTTATAGAATTGGTCCGCCAGGAATAATTGTTCTTACATAAAGATTTGTATCATTTAGAACCTAGAAAGTATTATTTCGGCACTGTTGATCTAACGGCGAACAATGTATGGAGAACGAACATTGTCCTTTGTCTTGAAAACGAAGTTAAAAATACTTGTTTTTTGTTACGGTATAAAACTAGGTATAGTTCCATTCATGGTGTGGTATTGACTCCTTTGATAAACAAAGCAATTGATACGATCGGTTTTTAATTGGCACATCCAATAGTTTCAATTAAGGGCCAATTTCATGAAATATTTTAATGAATGAAACATAGTGATAGAAATAGAACACTATTTTCATTTGTAACACAATGAATGACCTTTAAAATACACTATCAACTATATGATAGTTGAAATTTTTGAGTTTAATTCATGAATTCCAACATGCTCTACTATTTTGTCTTGTATAGAGGCGAGTTTCTCTCTGCAGAGAGATATCCAAGCGCCTACAGTGACAAGTTATTTCAATAATTTATGACGAGACTGTATTTGTATGGTAAATCTACAAAAGTTACAATAGCAATGTCATATCAGACTGCACCTACCTAAATAAATAAGTTGTAAGAGACAATTTAGCTAAAGTTGCTGCGAAGAAACTGAATGATAAATAAACAAATCTGATAAAACGTAAAAGCTAAAAAGAAATTCCTCGGACAGAAAAAGTGCTCTAACTTTAACTTAAATATACGAGTACGTCTCGTCTAATTCACCAAGTGCAAGCAAAATGTCCGTAGTTTCGTCAGGCAATCTTGATAAAGGTCTGTCAGCATTCAGCATAAAACATTCTAGCATCGGCCATCTTTGATTGACCCTCGAATAACTCTAGCGGGGTCCTTCACACGGCTGTAACTCCACTGGCCGTTAATCCGCTGTATTTATTCACATAAGCCTGCTTCACCCGTCTTATTTCGGTATAAGTATGCCAATTATCTACGTCGTATTAAGAGCGAGAGACTTTATTCTGGGCAATGAGTCACGCAGAGAAAGTCCGTTACATCGCTGAATATGCGACAGATTTATCGTGGTTTGGTAGGGCGGGGCGCGGCGATGTCGATGAATGTTGGCGTAGGAAAAGGCTTAACGCTGACCTATTGACAAGTGAAGCTAAGAAAGCCACCAATGCTAACTACCAACTATTGTAGACAGTGCAAAAAAGCAATATTTAGATAACATTTAAACGATAATAACATTTTTGGCCAAATGCAAATGATTCTCGCGGTTTCGTCGTTATAATTTTCTGTTCAACTCTACATTGCAATTTTAATAAAAAGAACCTATGTTTTTAAGATCACCTCCCTTAATTTAGTACCTATCTTATCTAGCACGATGTTTTGTCTAGTTAACATATTTTGTCCCAGTAAAAATAACACCAAAAACCATAGGTTAACCAAATTAATTTCAAAAGATACAAATAAAGTATTACTTACCTGTATTACAAAGCCTAATAAGAATGATCAGCCTCAAAAACTTAAGATACAAAACTTTTTCGAAACTTTAACCCTATCGATATCGACACCCTCCTCCCCCTACCGGGTCGTCACCTGGAGGGCGCGGGGCGGGCGCCGCAGACTCGGCGACGCTACGGCGGGCAGGTTACGATTTACACTCCACCAACTCAGCACAAACTCTGCCCGGAGGAAAACGCTGATAATCCACATTCAGACTGCGTGAGAATTACATTGAGATTACTATGCTGTCTGCCGCTTTTATAGAGCTTTATTTAATAGGGTTGAATGGAATTAATAAAAAAGTTGATGCAAAGAAAATTAATATTATTTTTTGATAAAGTCCATTAATTAAGGCTTTAGATAATGAGATGAATGAAAAAATAATGTTTTTCAACATACGTTTCAGAACTTTCAGGCATGGTAGCAGCAGCAGGTTGGAAAGGAGCTACAAAGTGCCCAAATTATTTCGATACAAGTTTCATAAAACTTTTAACACAAGCTCGACTCTAGTCAATTATCCGAAAAGAAAAATTATAATTTCATGTTTCAGAACACACAAAATAGAATAAGTGTAGAGAACTTCAATAAATTATTTATTTTATAATAATGGTTCAGATTTAAGCTCCTACAAATCTTTCGTTAACTAGAACCTAGGGGGTACGGTAGTGCTACGCCAAGTTACGTTTTTTTTTATTTCCCAAGAACTTAAAATAAAACAAAATTTTATTCAATGCACCGTCCAAAATTAATGTGGTTTTTTTTCTTGTTACAGGTCAATCGATCTCGCGTAGTTTGGATTACGCGAAGTTGAAAATTTTACCAGAATTCGCAGATGAATTAATAAATTCAACTGCAAAACACATCGAGACAGCGTTCTAAAACAACGAACATCACAATTAAAAACCAAAATCAAGAAGACCAGTTTAATGTGGAGACTGATACTTGTGTTAAATTTGATATTGGAAAAAATTGACGATCAAAAAGTGTGATTGAATATGAAGTGATATTTTGGACGTTGAAAATAGATGTAAGTAACCTAAAATGTAAAATGTTATTTAGAGAAGTCGAGGAATTCAGAAAATGACCATCGTCTCGCAGTCCCCTGAAACTTATTGAATTGAATTCACTCCTAATTTTATGCTATTTTCTCTGTGTATCTTAAGAATTTTGTGCGAGTTAGTTTTCGAAAACTAAAAATAATAAAACTACCGTACCATTTTCTTTAGATACACAGATAATATTATGGTGCATGATCGACTGATTGTCGACGATTTCATTCAGAATAGTGAATGACACATTTATTCAATTAGAACTAAATTATTATTTTCCTAAACAACTTATGGAAATCTTAATTACGCACACTTTTGGACCCTGAAATATATAAGTGTTTTTATGCTAATATTTCTAGAATGCTTGTGAACTACTAGTTCATGGAACCATTGCCATCTTTCGTAGTATAATTTCATAGATTTGCCATACCTCTGTGTACCCTAACTACAATTCTGACTTTTGCATTAGGTATTTTATTGCGTGGGCCAATTAAATTTTAATATCTGGATACAAATTTACAAAATTTTATGGATAAAAAATATTTTTCATGCAATATGCATTTGAATGACTATTTTTCTCACAATAAGTACGCCAAGTGGGTGAATAAGTCGATTTTAATAGTACGCCATAGAATATTATGTAGATTTAGTTATTACACGTTAACACAGACACAAGCCATTTTGTAACCAAAAACAATCTTTGCTCAGTACCAAATTCATTTGGAATGAAGTAAAATAAACTGAATACGTTTGTTTTGACATTCAGAATAGTGCCTACATTTAAAATATTACTAAGTACACCAGTTGTTTCTTCCAATAGTTTGGTCTTAAGAAACTACGCACAAGTAAAATCCCGTATAGTCAGTTCTCTAGTCCCAGATATTAATTTTTTGAATAAGCTACTACATACTTATGTCAACTAAGTGCAGAATTACTCATAGATAAGCAGTGTTGAAAGCTAGCCCTTAATAATATACTTAACAAAAATAAATTCATTCTATGAATTACCTCAATGGACTGTTTGTGATAGATTTAGCCAATAAGTGTTCAATTTAGTGCGTGTATCGTATAAGTCAATTCTTGTACATTTGGCGTCCATTTATATATTTTAAAAACACCATAATATGATTGCGCTCGGCTTTCTTGTCCCTTGCAATTTTCAATTATTCACTGCTTTATACTACACATCGTATATATGCAGCTGATAATGGTGCTATAAATACTATTTTGTAAACAGCATATTAAACAAAAAATATTTTGATGACAATGTAAAGAAAAAGGAATTGACATACTTAATTACAAAATTCATAATTATGCGTTCCATCTAAATGCTTCACTTTTCTATTAATATTAGATCTCTTGCAAATGTTTGTTATTTATTTCTATGCAAAGTTCTCTTACGTACAAAATTAAGTAATAAGTAAAATTTTTGTTATGCGTCATTGAGTGTGAGATTTTTGTAATTTTACAAATTTATATGACGTTTTACNTTTTGTAATGTAACTAAAAATTTAAGGTTTTCGGAATTTTTCCTTCATGTGTGCTATAAAACGTTGCTTCATGCCAAATTTCAAGATTCTAGGTCGACTGGAAGTACCCTTTAGGTTTTGATTCCCCTGCGAGTAGGTACTTGCGAGTTTCAAAATATGCAGCTTAAATTGCTGTTTCTTTTGATTGCGTTGACATAGAAGTTTGATTTTGTTACAACTTAAAGGTATTATAGACCTGAGTATTCGGTATAAATTTCAATTTAATACCTCTACGCGTTTATGAGGAAATGGGTAGTAAGTTTAAAATTATTTTAAAAAAATATACACACACCGGCAGATTTAGAGGAACGCAAAAAAAAAGGTCAATTTTTGAAGCAAATGTAGGTTCTATACCTATTTTTTTAATATTACAATAATCAGTTGGTCTTATACTAACTAAAATAAATGCAAATGTAACTTATACAATATAATTTTTTAAAGAATTGAACCAAAATTACAGAAAATAAAAATTTAACTTTCTTCCCTTGAAACTTAAAACTGTTTAATTTTACAACAAACTCAGAAAAATTAAAAATTAATAACGTGTATTGCCGCCGCGGGCTCTAATTAAAGCTTGTACACGATTTTGCATGCTATGAATGACTTTGTCTATGATTTCCTGGGACAAGTTGTCCCACTCTTCCAACAACGCCAATTTAAGCTCTTCGACGTTGTTGGGAGCTGGAATTCTCCGTCGAACCCTTCTTCCCAGATAGTCCCAGACGTGTTCGATTGGGTTCATGTCTGGTGACCGCGCTGGCCAGTTTAATTGCGTGATGCCAACCTCATTCAGATAGCCACTCACTATCCGCGCAGTGTGGGGGCGTGCATTATCATGCATAAAAATAAAATTTTCGCCTATGAATGAGGCAAATGGCATTACATGGTCCTCCAAAATGTCTGTTACATATCGTTGTGAAGTGAGCGATCCATTATCGATGATCACTAGCTCCGTGCGAGCTCCTAAACATATGCCGCCCCATACCATCAATGACCCCCCACCATACGATACAGTTTCAGTGAAATTTGCTTGGTGATAACGTTCCCCTTGATGCCTCCAAATTCTTTCCCTCCCGTCCACGAAATTTACGCAAAAGCGGCTCTCGTCACTGAACAAAACATCACTCCACTCGTTTGTCCAATCTTGGTGCTCCCGAGCGAATGCTAATCTTGCTACACGATGAGCTACCTCGAGTTTTGGGGCCTTTGCTGGCACGTAAGACTTTAAGCCAACTTCTTTCAAACGTCTTCTCACTGTCCTTTCACTTACATTGACGTTACGGACTTCTTCTAAACGATTTCGGGTCTGAACAGCTGTTTGACGACGATTTCGTAAAGTTTGCATGACTATGAAACGGTCATCTAAGGCGTTAGTTGCCCGATTTCTGCCCTGCCCAACCCTCCGCACGTACGATCCAGTCTGTCTGTAACGCCGGACGATGCGATGAACCACCGATTTTGATACACCCAATGTGCGACTGACTGAGCGATAAGTGTGCCCTTCTTCGATCATTGCGACAGCCCTAGCCACAGAAGTTGGTGGTAAATCACTCATTTTGTATCAGAACAATATGCTCTATCCAAGTGTAAACGGTAAAGAATCCACAGTCCCCTTATACAGCATCCACTAAAGTTCTTTTCAGATTAAGCATTAAGCGCAAAGTATCGGAAAATTCTTAAATACCCATTATTCTTACCAAAACAAATTTAAAATACGTAGAGTGTAATAAAAACAATCTGACATTAGTTTATAAACACATAAACAAAAGCCACTTGTCAAAATACCTGTCAATTTTCTTCTTTTTTAGCTTTTTTTTTGCGTTCCTCTAAATCTGCCGGTGTGTGTATCACATATTTTTTTGTGTAATAGTTGGTAATAAAAAAATGAAGTTGTAACTGAAAAATGTTCGAAGATCGAATATATTTGTGTTCACATAGTATAATTACAGGCGCGTCGCGTCATTATAATTATCATTATCTTCAAAGTCTCAGATAAATTACACCCCTAAGGCCTGATTTTTCCATCATCAGATATCTTTTAACTGAAGAATAAACTTGTCATTTTGACATATTTCCCATACTGAAACTGTCAATGTACCAAACTTATTCTTCAGTTAAAAGTTATCCGACGATTGAATAATCAGCCATAAAAGTGGTAAAATACTCATAATAGTTTAAAAAAATACGGAAGCTACTTCACGTAGATTATTTGCTTCTGGAAATCAAATAACAAAATGCCAAGCATTTAGTATCTCATTGAAATTATAAGCTGGGAAAATGAGCATTAGTTAAATGTCACTGAGTACTTAGATAATTTCTTGAAACAAGCTTGATAATAAAATTTACTAGAGCCCCTTGAAGGGTTTTAAATGATGGGGTGTAAGCAATTTAATCGTCCAAATAAATTTTTTGAAGCATAGTATTGCTTATCCGAATAATATGCTCGGCAGAACTTTATGAATATTAGACTGATAAGAATAAGTATCTTCTTAGCTATTTTAAGGTTGCTTGTAAAAAAGCTTTCTACTGTGAACTTTGGATGGACTTTTACCTTTATTTTAAACAGACTCAAATACAATATTGTAAGAAAACATCCAAGATATAAAAGTTAGTAAAATTACTGTGCTGTATAATTAAAAATCTTCATTCATTTGTCATTTACAGTAATGACCAAAGAAGTGTTATTGGCCTTATGATTATTAGTTTTGCCAGGCAATTGAGGCAACTGATGCTTTAAAACCATTAAGCATTGCAAACAAATATGGAATAAAATAGCAAAAGGTGAAGTCCCACCTTGACTGTACATTTTCAAGATAAATAATCTTGTGTAAGTAAAAAAATATTTGTTGAATTGAATTGCATAGTATAACTATCCAATGTAGGCAAAAGCGCCTATAAATATTTTTGTAAAACCGGAATCACACAATTTTTTATTTTTGTTGCGGACCGTCGTCCTACAAAGACAGAAGTCGATTCAGCACTTATATTATTATCATTATTAAAAGTACGTTTGCATGATATGGTTTATCTCATCTTATTTCAAACATGTCTCATGGCACACTTTTACAGTGTTCGTCAACCTTGAGTCCCTGCGAAAAAACGGTCTTAGCGAAATTAACAACTTGCCTAATGTAATGGAAAATACTTCAAAAGCCGCTCTTTCATAAGCTCTGATATCTTGTGGAATATAGCACGCCTGTTTATCTCACTTGAATGGATGTTTTAGGGACTGCTTGTGTGTGCTCAACGCAATTTTATGAAGCTACTTGTGTACAAGGTATAGGAATGGCTTATTTTGGTGCCACTCTCTGAGTTCTTTCTAATAATTTTACATAATATTGAAGGTCCAAAATCAGGAAATTTGATGGTGATTTTCGAAAGATTACCTATACCTACCTATTCCCAAGATCTTATAATAATATCTTTAAAAATCCGCGCACAAACATTAAGGTGTACAAAATAGCAAATTGACCTAATTTCAAGGTCAAATCCTTATTAAGATAACATTACTCTATATTTACAGCTTTTCAGGTACGTAGTAAGGACAAGAGATAAACGTTTTCAAAATATGTGACATTATAATCGGCATCTAGTACCTAGTTTGTAAGAGAATCCTTTCTTTAAGCGATTAATACCGAAGTTCCAGTGAAGAAAACAAAAGTCAGCTAAATTATTCACAGTTGAAGTACACGCTTAATAGTAAGGGCCATGTGTAAAGTGCTGATGCATCGGTCAGTGAAAAATGCAGCGCTACCAGATTCATCGTTCGATAAATAATAATCAATCGACCGAAAACTGATATCGATCGAGGAGCTTCCACCGGTCACGTTAGCCAACAGGTTTGGACTCGGCTACGATTGTTGGCTCGCCCTTTTGAGTTAAGTACACACTGGGGTAGCGATTTGAATTAATCATAATAATAGTAAAATAGCAGAAATAATGGTTTAATGACGTGGTATTGATGGCTTAGACAGNTGTGTATTAGATTTGTTCATCAAAAAATTTAACTCAAATTTGTACATTTAAAGCTACAGCTATGTAGTTATACGTACAATTAATTTCACACGATGAATGAATTTTATTGCGTTTTTCGCTGAATGATTCGTATAGTCTCCCTTTTTAATTAGAAATGAGTCTTATTTGGAAAATGTCTTAGGATGTTTCTGTACCTAATTATAAAATATACATTTAGATACTTGCGATATGGCACAGGACGCGAGGTGTAACCACACATTTTATTATATAAATATGTAGATAGCTAATAAATAGTTTTATTTTATCGTGAGTTGGCTTAAAGTCATGATTGTGTTGAATGTACTAGAACGGCCCATTACCTAGGTGACGGGAATTATTATAAAACAATTTGCCAAATATACATACGTAAAAATCCAATAACTATTCGACTATATGTATAAAAACGAAAAGTAAATCGATAGTTGTATTATATGAGTGTTGTAGCATGTTTGAGCTCTTCGGAGGTATCTCATGAATAGATAAGGATGTTAGTTAATATAATATCTCCTGGTTGTTGAATTGTATTGAATTTAAGTGAAGCGACGATAGTTTATGTCAGTCCATGTGGTCAATTAGTGTGGACCGAATTAAGTACGAGCCCTTATGCTAGTTGGGAGAGTGTGCTAAGTTTATATTGTAATGTGCTTTTAGTCCTGGTTTTGCCTACGTGGCTTTAGTCAATTAGAAGAGTAGAAGTTGGTCGTAGCTTACTAAAAAGCCATCATATGGCGACTCCAACGTCACATTCTTTTAATCAGCTTTTCAACTACATTCAATATCCAACAATGAATTTATTTCCCTCGATGTCACTCTGCCTTCTAAATACTACGAAGTAAAGTTGGCTATTTATAAGGTGAAAAACTGGAAAATTTTAGTGAAAAGTTACTCCAAAACACCTATTATTCAAAACTTTCTGCTGTGCTTTTAAAACCCAGTATATTGGATAGCCGATTTACTTTTTACAAAATTATAGAAGGCTTCGAGATAAAGAGATTTTAATCGATTCATATTTTATATTATATTCATATACCAAAGTAGAGGTCAGTTAGGGTTTTATTACAAGTAAAACCCCTCCTAGATAATTAAGTCAAGTGCAGAAACTACGACTAGAGGCACAATTGATGATTGAGGAACTTTCGTTTGGAAATCGTGCAGGTAGACTTCGATTATTTTTTAAGTGACAGTGATGTTCTGATACTTATTGCTATCAAATTATGGAATTAATTAAACCAATAATGAATACTTAAATATTGAAGACTTAAAATTATTCAAATAAGTAACATTATTATCACTGTCTAACTAAAAATAAAATAACTTTTAATCGCAACTTGGCACACCTAAACTACCGTGCCCCCAAAATGACCAAGTCAGATAATTTTACCTGGATGATTTCTAACTAACTTTGTGCCCCAATAAAATATTGTTCGAGTGGGATAATGTCAAATGTGGTAAAAACTATGATTGAGTAATATTATGAATTTTCAGCCCAGAGGTCCGTGCTCATGGGATGTCTCTAGATTTTAATAGATAATATATTTTAATATTAGTCCATAGTTATTAATTTGGTAACTATGTATTTATAAGAAGGGTGAGTGCCCCATAGAAGAATATCTTTTTGTAAATTATTTTGTACAATGTTATTTTTTTCTATGTTTGCATTATATTATGTTTACTGCGTAACACTTTACATTAATTTGTTGATTTTTTCAGTTGCTTATTATCTTTATGACGAAATATGTGAAAACCTAGTTAATTAGGAGAAATTATGTGTTTCAATGTAAATATTATAGACGAAAGCATGTATGTAGGAGTACATAAATATTATTTATGTATTAAATTTGATATTGTTTTCAAAATTTAATTGGTTGTTTTATTGATATCCTGACCAGAAAACAAATTTTACTCTAACTTTGACTTACCTACCTATCCTGCACACGATTAAAACTTATCTTTATAAACCAAGATTCACTTTTATGAAATCAGAAAAAATATACCGTCCGTATAAAGGACGTCTTCATATACAGAAGAAAGTTAGGAATAGGAACGTATCTTACATTACATATTTATTGTGTTCATCACACTATCATTTTGAACACTAGCGAAAATAACTGTACCTTTTCACAGTCTGGTAAGCGTATTAGCAGGCCTGTTCATCTCCGCGAGTTTACATCGAAAACAAAACACGCACGATGGCCCACCTACAGGAGATCACTGACGTTTGTCAACAAAATGGTGCTTGACTCTTGAGACAGGCTAAATTACACCATATTGTTAATGACTCTGAGCATACATTTTTTTAAATACCTTCGCGAAGTAAAACTTCTGTACGTAGTACTTATTATTATTTTGTGGTATTAGGTACTAGGCCAAGACCAAACGAAACCCCGAAGCGTAGTCCGCCTGGATTTCGTCAAAGAACAAACTAACGCCCGTATTCACAAACATTACTATGAGGTCTCACAGTGCAAGTGAACGCACAGGGTCAATCACGAACCACACACAGAGCTCTATTCAACGCTGTGCGTTCGATTTTCTGCTTCATTTATGCAAGCATCGTTTGTGAATACGGGCGTTAATCCTTCTACAAAGTACCTACATGACCGCCTGGCCTTCAAAGAATAAAGCAGTCTTCTACAAAAACTCATTTATTATCATTAAAAGGCCATACAATCACTCAATGTCCTCGCACTCCTCCACCATGTCGCTGGGAGGCCCGGGCTGCGCTGGAGGGCCCCAGTTCAGGTAGACGGAGTCCGTCCATAGCACCATCCCGAATGAAAATAACCACCTGCAACATTTCATCGAATCAGAAATGAAGAGATCCGTAAAAAACTCATACTTAAAACTCATTTATTTTTGCAAATACCTAGGCTTTTAAAAAGCACTTTTACAAGTCCCAGTATTAACCCTACCACTGCTTCGGGACAATAAATGGGCCAGTGCTGAGAAGAAGCAGCGCAAGAAACTCAGTCACTATTGTGAGCCTACTTTTCAAGGGTTTACTTACAGTCTTTAAAATATTATACAAATTATAGTCATAAGTATTGATGCGAGCTAGTTAGTTAAACATTCCAAACATTTTATACCAATAATCATTAACGAACTAAAGTCGCTGACATAGCCCGACGGATTAGAAAACTGAAGTGGCAATGGGCAGGGCACTTAGTACGCAGAACTGACAGCCGATGGGGCAGTAAGGTTCTGGAGTGGAGGCCGCGTACCGGAAAACGCAGCGTGGGACGTCCACCCTACAAGGTGGACCGACGACATCATAAAGGTAGCAGGAAGGCGCTGGACGCAAGCCGCTACCAACCGGGCAGCATGGAAAGCATTGCGGGAGGCCTATGTTCAGCAGTGAACGTCCTGTGGCTGAAATGATGATGATGATGTACCTACTGTTCATCATCATCATCATCTCAGCCATAGGACGTCCACTGCTGAACATATTCCTTCTCCAACGATTTCCACAAGAACCAGTCCTGCGGTGCCCACATCCAGTTACTTCCCGCGACCTTCACCAGATTGTCATTCCACCTAGTGGGGGGCTTGCCCACTTTCTTTTTTTAGCCTGTGGTTGCCATTTGAGAAATTTTCTGCCCCAATAGTCATTGACTACGAGCCGGCAGAGTAGTAAGGAACCAGGCTGGTTCAACCAGCCCATGGGAGCTCTTATCTCCTCTAATCTAATCGCCTCTTACCTCTACATGAGAAGACCAATCTTCCTTTAATTAAGGTAGAAATGTGCGGATAGGCCTCCGTCTAGCTAGTGCAGCGTGGGGAATTAAGGCCAAATCCTAGACTTGCCCCTAGTATTTACTCTACTCTACATTTGTAGTCGTGTTCCTTTAGTGAAGACTTTTTAGTCAATCGTTCGTTCGTTTCAGCCGAAAGACGTCCACTGCTGGACAAAGGCCTCCCCCAAGGACTTCCACAAAGACCGATCCTGCGCCGCTTGCATCCAGGTACTTCCCGCGACCTTCACCAGATCGTCGGTCCACCTAGTCAATATCATCATATAATAGTTTTTAGTCAATATCATAATACATTAAAGCAAGTCCTAAGAGATATACTGCATCCTTAAAAATTTTAAGACTAACCAAAGAGCTCCAGCCACCAGCACCTTGTTGTAGAAGCTCTGCTTGTCTTTGTACCAGATATCCCACGGGCCGCAGGGTATCGGCAACTCATTCATATGCGCATCGCAACGGTCTATGGAAAATAGAGCAAAAAAAAGATTCCCATAAAAAGACTTTCTTGCAGCTCTAAAGACGAAAACGAAACTTCTGGGAAAACTGGCTATAACATAATATAAGAATATTATAAATCATTGCTCAAGACGTTCAACCATGAATAACTTGAAAAAAACAAAGTTGGAGCAGTCGTCCAGCCAGCGTAGGGTCGTGAGTTAGATTCCCACCTTTTTAACGTAACCACAACCTACTTAAATACGAGTGTGCACTAGCTTGGAAATACTAAGTACTCATCAAAAGTCAGAGAAAAGGTCGAGGGTTCGATTCCCGTGCAGCTTTTACGTAGTACTTATTATTATTCTGTGCTTTTACAAACATTTTGCGTTATACCGACTGTTTGTAGTGGCCTAAAATCCAAATCTTTATGCTTTTTGGAAAAACATCTCGGGCGTGTCCAATGATTAGACTAAGTTTTTTATTTATTACTGTTATTACCCGACTGCGCCAGAAGGAGGGTTATGTTTTTTATTTACCTTGTCTCGCCAAACACCTCCTAGTTGTAGCGATGGTGCGGCTAGGTGTTGTTACCGCTTTAGATAACGCCAAAAGCTTCGATCTCATATTTTTTCAATAATCAATTATTTACGAATACAAACAACATTGACTGATAAACAGTTGACAATTCTTTTGTCAGTTGATATTTTTATTTAAAGTCCAACAAGCCAGTTCGTTAATAACAAAATCAACAGAGGTTTTGCTTTACTTGTTGCAGAAATCACTCAAGCATGCCCTAACGATGGCCCAAACTTCTATTAGGCCCAAACAAACACAAAGATGCTTTTCTTTTCCTAAATAAACAAACATCCTTGGCTACTTACCTTACCTACTTCATTAGCGAAATAGCGATATAGAAAAAAGCCATTGATACGAAATTAATTCGTAAAAGCTAAAACAATTTTTAATTAGGTATGTCTCTCTCAGATAGAAACAAAGCATTTTTTTTACTAACAGTAGGGTACCTACGCACCATCCCGTGAGATTACGCACGAGTATTCTACGACCACTTTATTATAAACTTTATTGAAACTCATATAAAACCTGTATTAGATATAGCTCTCGGTGTAATAAAAACTTTACCCGCTCGTAATAAAAAATGTGCGGTTACATTGCGTTAAATATTCCAAAAGTTTCATAATAAAAGCGGCCCTTGAGGAACTAATGTGTTATGTTTGGTAGGCACATTGTGAGAGTAGTTTCGTGTCACTTTTCTAATGGTATAAATGTATCTACCCGCATAATCCCTTCTTTCATTGCGACCAGTGGGGCTATCTATTTCACAAATATTGTTCATGCATTGCCAATGTGGGCATTCGTATTTATAGGGATGTTTCCTGGGTAAAAAATCAAGAGTTTTAATTAGTCCGTCAGTTAGCTTATCAAAAACTACTCGACACCTATTTTTCACTTTTCAAAACTAATGAAAATGTAAAGAGATAAAGCGTACCAAAGTTCTAAAGAAAAGGCCCGTGACGTCAGTGAGTGCGTAAAATTGCAGCACTTTGTGACGTCGCGCGGAACTTCAACGTACTATAACTTTGTAATTATTTGTTTGATTGACAATTAAAAATATACGTGTGCAATAGTTTTTTATACTAATATTGACGGACTAAAAAATTTTTTTAGGAAACTATCCTATACTGACGTGGCTCACTCCGGACGCCGTCGCGCCGCATTGGAGTCACCGCCTCTTCTTTATGAAACCTTCTATCGTAGAAGTCCACCCTGTATTGTAGGCCTGAACTGTTCAGTCAACGCTGAGAACTTAAATATTGTGGAGTATATTTTGTGAAGTGCGCGCTTTAGATGTTTATCATCGCTTGATTGACTGAGACGAGGTTGGTCCTTCATCATCTTCCATCTTCGAGGGCAGATATATTGGGAACCGCGGTTCACTCTTAACCCCTGAAACTGCTGGTGCTGGTGGATTGCAGAACGGGTGAGTACGCTCAATACTCAATTATTTATTGCATCCATAATGTTACAGAGGTGGTATGGTTTTATTCTAAGATAAAATTATGGCCTTGTCGGGCATAGCATTCTAAGAGAGGAGAAGAGTTTTTAAGCTGTTTGTTCGTAGTGATAGAAAGCAGAAATCTCTTTTCTGAATCATAAAATGACCTCGACCTATGGTGAATATTTACACGGACTGGAAGACGTAGTGTAGGCTGGTCCCCCACTAGGTGGACCGACGATCTGGTGAAGGTCGCGGGAGGTGCCTGGATGCGAGCGGCGCAGCGTCGAGTGACTTTTGTAGGTAGTGATTAGTGATGGGCCGACTATGGCCTTTGCCGACTAACCGACTAGCCGACTAATCGGTTTTAAAATTGCCGATTAGTCGGCCGACTAGTCGGCAATGCCGATCATTCTAATACCTACTTGTCCGAAGAATAATATCTAGATTTTCTTAAAGAAATATGAATGAATATCTAGATTTCTAAAGAGATAAATACAGGGTGTCCCAGAAGAAAATTCATTTAAAGGAAGCGAAAACTGTAAATTTTTGTACAACTTTAACTATTGCATTTTAAAGGAAATTTAATGGGCCACCCTCTGTAACTTCTTGAGAAATGATATTTCTTTAATATGAGAAAAAATAAAAAGCAACATTACAAAATCACCTAACAGTACCTAAGGTAGATGTCATAATTTTCGAGGGGTCAGAGGAGGTGACAATATGATCGCCTCCTGCTGGGCTAGGATGCGCGCCGTGATATTATTCTCACTTATCGACGTCAAAATGTATGGGCAAAATTGCGCTTATCGCGGCACGCATCCTAGGCCCACTGATTCCTCTCCACTTGCCAAAATTTTAAATCAGGTGAAACCACTTACTGATTTTATGCAGTTAAAAGTGGTTTAGGTAAACGCCCTTGGTCCACCTCATAATAATCTTAGTGATTATGAGTTTTATTTCAGTTACATATTTAATTTTGTAATGCGCCGATTATAATCGGCATATTTTGCCGAATAGTCGTCACTAGTCGGCCGACTACAAATGATGCCGAATAGTCGGCTTTCCCGACTAGTCGGCGACTAGTCGGCCCATCTCTAGTAGTGATTATATCATTCGCATAATTCGCAAATTGCACACGATACGGTTTTCTAAGGTCTACATTAATAAAAATATGTTATGCTTATATTCAGGATGTTTATTAGTTAATCAAAACGTGTAACTATATAATATTAGCATATGCTAACGCCGCTGTGTGGTAAGGCGAAACGATCCATATGGATCCTTAGGCCTCAGCCTCGAACTTAGCGGGCAGCGGGGCGGCGGCGGCGGCGGCGCGGGAGCGGGGCGGGCAACGCAGACCCGTTCTCGAAACAAGCGGGCAGCTCGCGCGGCGCTTTAGCGGCGAAGTGTTGTGTTCGGGGTTGTGTTGTCGAGATATTTGTTTTTATTCGCAAACGAAATTTTATTTCGATTCAAATTTATTCCTAACGCTCGATTTATTATGGGCAAAAGAAGGAGTGCGCTACCCGCTCTTTGCCCGCTCCCTCGCCGCTGCCCGCTCGTTGCCCGCTCCGGCGCCGCTGCCGCGCCGCTGTTTTCGAGAACCGGTCTATTTGATTTTACGCATAAGATACTGCCGCTCCCGCGCCGCCGCCGCCGCCGCCCCGCTGCCCGCTAAGTTCGAGGCTGAGGCCTTAGAATTAAACTAAATTATAGTTAACTTCGGATCTGTGATAACTGTGGTTAGATATATTTTTTACGGACGCCAATAATCATTTTTTCTTCTCTAAAGGACGCCCATGACAAAAACCTTAATTACTTAATTATAAACTACAATGGACTGTAAAGGGCTGTTGATGATGATGATGATGATGAAACTACAATCTAATGTTATTCTAACAACGCTTAATATTATTGTAAATATCAAAATCCGATCGGCATTTTTTGTGTGACAAAGGAACAGACTTTCGCATTTTTATTATGATTAGGCTAAAGAAGCCAATATTGCAACAAAACAAATCAAAATAACGTTTAAATGAAAATATTTTTCATAATTAATTGAAAATTTTCAAAAGAGTAAAAATAAAGCAACATGCACCAAGCTGTGCCAGTTTAGTTTTTTCCTAATGAAATCCATGATAATTCTAACATATATGAATCAACATTCAGATATAAACTTATAACTTTCGGTTTCACAGCTCTTATTCAAAAACATCAAATATCCATCTAAACTTAAGCCTAGATTCATACTTGAGTTTCATTTTATAACTTTTATCATATGATTTTTTTAGACACTTTCGGACCTTCCGTATTACAAAACGGTCCGATTCAAAACTCGATCCAATCTAAACCATGTTGTTCTGTGATTGGTCTCTAAATATTGAATAAAAAAAAGCCTCATGCCCATTTTCACCATCAATCCCTAATTTTTAAGTGACCCCTATGGTAACACATTAAACAGGAATTTTATTTTCATCAATCTCTGAAATTGACTCGAAATTTGAGTTTTTGCACTCACCAACCTAAAGTTATCCAAGACCCGAAGTATCAAGCCGGTTTGCAGACCAAGAGCTAAGGTAAGTATAGCTTAGAGTTCACAGACGAGCGACATTATGTCGGCGACTGCTTGCGATAGTAATAGGTAGGCAACGATCAGCAACTGTAGGCGACTGTCGGCAAGTCTCCGACTCGCGTCTTTCGCTGTCATGACATGTTGACACTGGCTATACTACCCGTTCGCGCTAAGTTTGCCGGTCCGTAGAATGCGCGTCCCCTCTCCCAACCGCGATTAAACGCAATCAGTTAGTGCTTAAACGCAATTAATGTGTCTTATTTTACGCAAATACACATTTTTTTATCAATAACTAGCTGACCCGGCGAACTTTGTTCCGCCTTAATGGCAATAAATAACGGAATAAAAAGTATCCTATGTCCTTCTCCTGGCTCTAAACTACCTCCCTGACAATTTTCAGCTAAATCGGTTCAGCCGTTCTTGAGTTATAAGTGGAGTAACTAACACGACTTTCTTTTATATAATAGATGATGAATAAAAAATATTTTCCATATAGTTTGTTAAAGTTATAGACGATTCCCTTCGAGTGACGTCATATCGCCAGCGGCAAACTTAAAGCGAACGGATAGTACGTTAATGACTCTTCAATCGGCGACTGTCATCTAAATTGAATACCTGTCGTCGGCGACTGTCGCCGACTTAGTCGCAAGCATTCGCCGTCTACTGTCGCTTGTCTGTGAGCTCGCTTAGCATGTTGCATAGTTGGCAGTCAGCACACAACTATGGGAAACTGCGTCAACTATGCGAGCTATACAGGGTGTATCAATTTTCTGACTTCACCATACCATTTATATGACCATGTTAACATGGGCTAGTGTCGGCTCATATACCCATTTACCTAACACCCTGTAGATAGTGCGATCCGTGAAGACGCGCCCACCATTCGTCCCAATCGTTTATAGTTTGTAGTTTTGTCACTAATGTTTGAGTGTTATCGGTACACGCTTATTATATCCATGAGTGAGCAACCAAAAATTGGTGGGGCGCGTCTTCGTAGATGGCACTATCTATACTTAGGCCGAGTTGCACCACCGTTTGACCGTAACAAAACGATAACCCGTGCT